TTTTACGAGCCTGCAATTTTCAATATCGAAGATTTCGAATTTATAGTACAAAAAGAAATCTCACTGTTTGTTTCACAACTTTACTCGGAGTTGAGTCTCACACGATCGTTTGTTTCTACTTTGATAGATAAATTGAAGAATTTGTATGATTTNACTCTTATACCGATTTTTAAGCAAAAGTGTAATTCTAAAGATTATAAACTGGCCCTTTCAGATCTTACCAAGATGTTAACAATATTGCAACACGGTTTTGATACTTTTAAATTCGATCATCGCAGTTTAAAATATTTTGAAAATACAAATACTCTGATAAAACCACAATCAATCAGAATTCATGCATCAATAAGTTCTCACGTTATCAGAGGAAAGCGTAAAGCTGTTATTTCAAATACAGAAATCCAAGTGACATCAATAAAAACAGTCTTAAAAACTTTTTTAGAAATACTAGACGTTTTGTCTTTAATTTTAGATCATATTGAAAAATGCAAATCTAGTGAATCAATAGTTTCAAACATTCAAGGTGATTTATGGCAAAGCATTGAATCTCAATTTGCGGGAAAACCGTATTTCCATTGATATTATATTNTGACGATGTTGAGATCAATAATCCTCTCGGTTCACACACTAATATACGAAAACTTGGTGCCGTCTATTTTTTATTAGGATGTATCCCATATGAATTTAGCAGTATGTTGGAAAATATATTTCTTGCTCAACTCCACTACACAAAAGATCACAAGATTGCCGGTAACATGAAAACATTTCGTAATATTATTGATCAAATAACAGATCTTGAGAAACATGGCTTATCTGTAAATGTGAGTGGCCAGCAACGAACAATTAATTTTTCTCTGTTAACGATCATTGGTGATAATCTAGCTTTGAACAATATTTGTGGTTTTACTACAAGTTTTAACGCACAAAATGTGTGTAGAATATGTATAGCGAACAAAATTGAGAACTAAAAACAAGTGAAAGAAAATACTCAAATGCTACAGACTGAACAAAATTATCTAAAAGATTGTGAAAACTGCTCCACGGGAGTAAAAACTAAATGCGTTTTTAATGAAATTCCGAACTTTTATGTCATAAAAAATGCAAGTCTTGATTCAATGCATGATTTATTCGAAGGAATATGTAGATACAAAATAGGTAAAATCTTGAACTTTTTGATAAATAAAGAACATTTTTTTCTCTTGAAATTTTCAATGCCCGTTTACAACATTTTGATTGTGGTCGAAACTTTGGAAAAAATATACCAATCTCAATATCTAGCAACGCTCTTAATGCACAAAATTTAATCATTTCAGCGTCAGAAATGATTTTTCTAATTGAACATCTTGGTATTCTGATTGGCGATCTGGTGCCTGTAAATAATACCATTTGGGAAGTTTTCTTTGTGTTGCGGGAAATTATAAATATTATAATGAGTACATCATTTACTCTTGAAACAACTCAACTTCTTGAAACTTTAATATCGGAACACCATTCGTTATATATAGAAGTTTCTGCGGAGCCATTGAAACCTAAACATCATTTTGTCGTACATTACCCTCGATTATTGAGAAGATTAGGACCACTTAAACATTTATCTTGTTTTTGTTTCGAAGCAAAACACAAACAATTCAAAGAGAATGCGAAGGCTATAAGATCTCGCAGAAATTGTCCGTACACTTTGGCATTAAAACATCAACTTATTCTGTCACATAGATTTCTTAGTAAAAAAGNATTTTTTGACCGATTAAGTTTGGGGCCTACACTACGTCAAGAATTAACTGATCTGCCTGAATATCTTGATTTCAAAAATACACTCCCATGGAACATCCAATGCGAATATATACTCGATACTTGGGTAAAAGTTAACGGCATTACTTATCATAAAGATATGGCTGTAGCTATGCATTTGAATGACAATATTATTGTCTTTGGCAAAATTCATTACATAATTATTAATAATATGCGCCAAATATTATTTATATGTACAAAATTTCATATTAAAGCTATTAACAGACATTACTGCGCATTTGAAGTAATTAAAAAATCTTGTTGGAGATTTATTAGGCTAGAAGATTTAGTTTCTTACGTTCCGCAAAGTGTTCACATGATGAGCGATGGTAATTTATATATTTTATGCGAATAGGTGTAATCACACACATATACTTAGAGAAACATACTTTAATTTATTATAAATTTATGTTGAAAATGTTTGTTTTCAAAACTATATTGTATTAACGATACTGTGTTCAATAGATTATATAATTAATAAATAAAAATATTTATATATATTTTGTCTACATTTCATATCTGACCTTTCAATTCTTCCAACATACAGTTAATATTACTGCAACAAAATTATTGTATTATCCTACAAAACATCCTCAATTGAATCAGCTAAATGAATTGTTGAAAAGAACAGAACTACTCTACTGGCTTAATATACTATTTGGTTCTTTGAATAAAAATTGCATTGTTCAATCTAAATACTGCGTTCTTTTGATAATTTCTTCAGTTTGATAAATTGAATCTTTGTTACTTAAATTACAGCCTTCTTTAAATCAATCCACAATTTTGTTCGTTAATCTCAATTAACAGGCATGCTAATCGTATATTTCATTTTTTCGTAAAAATAATTATTTATATTGAGCGGGTATTTAGTTACTTTTCCTTTACATTTCGATGAACGCTTTGTGTGTTTGATTCTTGTAATAAAAATTTAGTTATTTCACTTCAATGTAGAATTTTCTCAACAAATTGTTTCTATCGACAAAATAAATTTCGNTTTGCTCTATAAAAGTTCTGTGTCAAACAACAAAAAACGTATGAATATATCGATCACCTAAATTGTTCATTAAATTGCATTAATAAATATACAAACTGTGTATTGAAGTCTTTCAACAAAGCTTTCATTTATATCAAATATATATTTTG